GGAGTTTATTCACACAATTTTGGAGGCTTTAAGTCCGAGTTCAAAGTGCCAGGCTCTAGGGGCTGGGTGAAAGCCCCTCAACCTTGGGCTTCAGCTCTGCCTCCTGCTCCCAGCCCACTGAAGCTTTTCTTCATTCAGACAGCTGCTGGCTGCTGAGGCTGACGAGCTCAAGGTTGACAGGTAAAAAGGCACAGTCCCAATGTTACCAAACGACATGGCAGGCTACTAATTCAAGTCCAGATGAAGTCCCAAGATCAGCAGGGCATGGCAAACTGTTGAACGACAACTTAGCTACATGCAGGGTTCAACCATGCCAAAAGGCTAGAGACCAAAGCTGTTTCTTATATACGGGAAACAGATCACATCCCTAAAGCAGCTACTCAGCCGCTCCAATAGATTCTACCATGGAGCTAATTACCAATCTCACCATGGGGAATAACTTCTTCCAGCTACCCAGCCACTCAACCAGGCCCAGCCAAGTTAACACACAACCTTAACTACCACAGTCTTCTTTAATCTCTTTCAGCTGTGTTTTATAGTTTTCATTGTAAACATCCTTCATGTCCCTGGTAAGATTTATTCCTAGGTATTTTATTCTCTTAGATGCTATTGTAAATGGAATTGTTTCCCTAATTTCCCTTTCAGACTTATCTTTGCTGGTGTATGGAAACACAACTGATTTTTGTTTGTTGACTTTGTACCCTGCAACTTTGCTCAATTTCACTATTAGCTCTAGAAGTTTTCTCTGGACTCTGGGATTTTCTATGTATATGGGATCAAATTGACATCAGGCAACTGAAAAGATTAGCCAGATAGCTTAGGGGGCAGTGGGTTTATTTTAATGATCAACTCAGAAAAGACAGTAGGAATGGTTGCACAACTCAAGGAATGTAATCAGTGTCTTTGAATTATACACATAGAAACTGTTGATTTCGTGTAGGTTTTGCTGTGTATATTCTCGACAACAAAAAACCTGTGGAGCAGTTCTACTCACATGGGGTCACAATGGTCGTATTTGACTCGATGGCACTTAACAACAGCAGCAACATGGACATTGTGGTAGTTATGTTTGTGTGTCAACTTGGCTGGGCCTGGTTGAGTGGCTGGGCAGCTGGTGGTAGTTATTCCCCATGATGAGACTGGCAATCAGCTCCATGGTGGGATCTACCACAAGCAGCTGAGTAGCTGCCTTGGGGGATGTGGTCTGCTTCCTGTATATAAGGAGAAGTTTTGAGAATGGTCTCTAGCCTTTGGCACACTTGGACCCTGCATGTAGCCGTGTCGTTGCTCAACAGTCTGCTATGTTCTACCGACCTTGGGACTTACAGTGGACTTAAGTTAAAGGCCTGCTGTGTAGATTGGTAACATCGGGACAGTGCCTTTTTACTTGTCAACCTTGGGGCTTCTCAGCCTCAGCAGCCAACAGCCGTCTGAGTGAAGAAATGCCTCTAGTTCCAGTGGGCCGGGAGCAGGAGGCAGAGCTGGACCCCAAGGTTGAGGGGCTTTCACCCAGCCCCTAGACCCTGGCACTTTGAACTTAGGCTTAAAGCCTCCAAATTGTAAGAATAAACTCCTGTTTGTTAAAGCCATCCCGTTTGTGGTATATTCCTGTCAGAGCGGCACTAGGTAACCAGAACAGACATGTATGAGAGATGAAGGAAGACATTCTGGAGGAAGTGATCATGGAGACGTGCCAGCTTGAGAAAGAGGGAAGATTGTTTCAGTCACAAGGAACAGCATGTACAAAGTCCCTGTGGCAAGAGAACTGAAAGAATCCTAGTGTGGTTGGAGCCTAAAGGGGTGTGAGGCACAGTGTGCATTGAGGCTGCTGCACCATCAGCATTTCATAGGCCACGATTTGGTCTCTGCAACTCTGCCGAGGGACTGCCACCTACAGATGGGCAAACTCGTCTGCCCGAGCTCCCCGAGCAGGGGCCAGGTGTCCTAAGTTCTCCCCTCTTTCCACATGGCCAACCGCCTCTCCAACACCAACAGGAAGTAAAACTCATAGGAACATACAACCAGGTCCTCAGTCCTTAAGTTGAGATGATAAGTTTAATAGGGAATCTTTCCTCTTCAAAGGTGGAAAGAAGAGGGCCAGGGGCCCCAGGGAGGGGGCAGAATGAAGGCAAGATCGCTCCTGCTTTTCCCTCACCTCCTCTACTCCAGCCATGTGCTCCACCTCCCTCACACAGCCCTTTACCCTTATTCTCTGGGCCTCAGGGTCACTTCCTATATCTACCTAAGCATGGCCAGCTGCAAGCTGGGAATTTGGCACTTGTGGGCCTCTGTTCTGTGCCCCAAGTAGGGTTATTCAAATGAGGAAATAAAAATACTGGACACCCAGATAAACCTGGATTTAGATAAAGAACAAATAAATTTTTTAGTCTAAGTGTGTCCCAAATATTGCAACTTTAGCCCTGGGCAGCTGGGGTTGGTACATCACAGACTGCTTCCAGGCTATTGAACTGAATAATATTAATATTGCCAACTCTGGCCCAGGACTGCCTTCGCTTCATCCCTCACTTTCACTCATCAGGGAGGTGGAGAGTGAGTGAACAAGAGAACCGACCCTGGGGCCAGCCTACCAGAGTTGTCTTCCAGCTCTGCCACTTTCCACCTTTGTGACCTTGGAGGGGGATTAGGACCCAGAAAATGAGATGCTTAACATCGCTGTCTTGGGGTTCCCGGTCTGTACATTGGGGCACCTACCTCATAAATTTGTTGTGAGGATTAAATGAGTTTATACATATGAAGTGCTTAAAGCAGTGCCTGGCCCATAGTAAATGCTATGTTAGTGTTAGCTAACATAGTTAAATAAATAATAATTATTTATTTATTCACACCAGAATGAATGTAGGGAGCTCTGATGGCGTAGTGCCTAAGGTATTTGCTAACCAGAAGGCTGGCAGTTCAAACCCACCAGCCACTCTTTGGAAGGAAGATTGGGCAATCTACTTCTGTAGAGATACTGTTTCAGAAACCCAAGGAGGGGTCACTATGAGACGGAAACGACTCAACGGCAGTGAGTTTGGTTTTTTGGTTTTGAATGAATGTAAGCAGGGACTTCTGTTCATTGCTATATGCCCAACATCTAGAAGAATGCCTGGCTTACAGAAGAGGGCCTGGTATGAGATAT